CCTCCCCTTCCCCATGAAGAGTTATCGCAAACATAGGGTAGTGAGTGGTCCAATAATTATAGGGCTAACCTAGTTCATATATAACTGTTACTTACATAATGACTACACTTAGATTTCTTATAAAATTCCTCTATATAGTGCGACTGTAAATACGACTGAAAAAGTACATCCAAACTTGATAGTCTACGGAAAGTCTTCACAGTACGTGCTATTCAACTTTGAAGGCACTTTTTTCCAATCACATTTATAATAAATAACACTATATAGAGGAGCTACATAAGGTAGCCTACTGTATACAATATCATATTATTAATGGTCTATATACTAGTAATGATAAGACGAATATACAATTTGTAATTATTCGTTTGTTATCGGGACTTTTCACTGTCAATATGATACCAAGCTAACATACTAACACTTGTACTAAACGTATATGTAACTTAAATACAGGGACAAACTCGAATAAACTAGGTTGAAGGTCGTTCTGCCGACAAGTACGATGACAAGGACACGTGTAGCGGAACAGGGATATCCGGGTAACCTATTTGCACTACTGGAACGTTTCGCTGTGCAACGTTTCGTTCTAACATTGTTGCAAACGTTATTACATTAAAGGCTTGTTCTGCTGTATGTGTCCGTCTTTAAATAAACGATGCGAGACTGCAGGGTGTGGTGTGTTATATTAGCGTGTGAGCTCACATAGAGGTGCTGAAGTCAAGGTAGTTGGGTGGCACGCACACTTGGACCTGAGAAGGGGGTGTGGGATTCCTGGGAGGGGCAATGAGAGAGTTGCCACACTCGCACCCACCCACTACTTCTGGGAAAACTTCCCACGTCTGGGAAAACTACCCACGGAACTTTTAAGGAAAGACCTGCCTCCTATCGTGGAGAATATTGCAGGCAAGAGTGCATCTCGTTATTATTCGTTATTATTATTATTATTATTATTATTATTATTATTATTATTATTCCAAAAATGCAGTAAATCCGTATGGTTCCTACAACGCTCTTAGAAAAGGTGTGCGAGGATAGGGGTGTTGGAGGGGTGTAGTGGAGATGGGGTAAGTATGCATCAGCATCTCAAACGGTCACTTTCCATTCATTTTTTCTTCAAGAGATGACTCATTAAGGGAACTCATCAAAGGTGAAGGTTAAGGGTTTTTCATGCACAGTAGCACTGGATTAAGGTTAATACCCCAGATCGAATTTAACATAAATATTAACACTACAATTTTTGTTACTAACCTACAAATGTACTTTATAAGATGTATTTAACTAACATAGGACATTCCACTGGAATGACTTCATTGCATCTATACCAAGATACAAGTTTCTATGACCACTTAATCAAATGAAGGCCTCCCACACAGACACTGATGGACGACTGGATCCTGTAAAGTAGTATTGCTGGATCAGAGCTTGCAGTAGTTAATAACTAATAGTTTGTCAGGCATTTAAAAAATCTGAGTTGGGTATCAACCCAGACAGAATTTGTTCCCTTAAAAGTGGCTACTGAGATTGTAAAAATTTTGCCCAGAGGGACGAACTTAACAGCACCATAAAGACAGTTCTGAGCCGTTACTCATCCTGTATGTGAACATAGCGCCATAAAGACAGTTCTGAGCAGTTACTCATCCTGTATGTGAACATAGCGCCATAAAGACAGTTCTGAGCAGTTACTCATCCTGTATGTGAACATAGCGCCATAAAGACAGTTCTGAGCAGTTACTCATCCTGTTTTTACAAAGCGCCATAAATAGTTCTGAGCAGTTACTCATTCTGTGAGTGTACACACCGCCTAAACAGGTGATATGCCATTGGCAAAATCAAGCGCTAAACCTACTAGGATCATGCAGCAATACCTTTCACAGCAATCATTATTAACTTTCACAAATCCTGCATGCTAGTATGTGATCTTGTATTAGTTAATAACGTGCATATATTCCTCATAAATGTTACTGGTATTAATTCTGTGTTCTTGAACTCTGTTACATTAAGATATAATGCCGGAAAGTATGTTCATCCTCCTCTCCACAAACTTGACACACTCTTCTCTAGAAGTTGCTGCACCAGCCTAGGCTAATCCTAGCCTCTGCCGTCTTTAATTTTCTCTTTCCACTTTTATAATCTTAAATATGTTTCATCTAATGCATCCCTGTTGTAATACTTGAGGGATTTTACTATTTCCTAATTTACCAGTTCTATTAAATTCATATCTCTGATTTCTGTGTGATTTGTAATCTGACGCAATTTCTACAAGCCTACAGTGTGGAAAACTAGACACATGCAGTATATTGCGATCATTTATTGACTATGGTTTCGGCGAAACGTAGTAATAAAGGATCACATTATACTACATTTGTGTCAATTTTTCCATCATGTCGGTACTTTATATCATTTATCTCCAAGCCTATAATTGCTGTTTCATTATTCCTATCAATTAATCAACTCACTCCTTGCGATGTAAAGGCATATCTGAAAACTTCACATGTTAACGTACCTGTGTCTGCAGAGTTTGCGAGAACCCCTGCTAGCAACTGTAGCAGATATTGTCCCACATGTTGGGTATATGGGGTTGCCATGCTATGGTGTGGGACTGGGCCGCGTGGGCGATGATCCATGGAATCATGTACAGGTAAATTACGGGCAACCCCAGCCTTTTCGTCTTCCTCTAAAGGAAGAGAAGACTCACTCTTACTACTGACTACACTAACACTGTCTGAACATGGGTGCTTCAGACCCTGGACACACTCAGAGCTTCTCAATACAAGCTCTCCACTCTTGACTAAGTCCTGCAGGACCAAACTGTCACTAACCACGTGATCACTCTCACAATTCAGGGCTTCTATAAGTAAAGCCTGCGTAACTCTGGTCTGCTTAATCTTGGATAATTCAAAGATCCTCTTGTAGCTGCGGGCGTTCCAAGCGTAATACTCCATGAGCCGCCGTACTACCTCGTCAGAAGTAGCCAGGGGAGCCAACTGAGCAATATGCAGCGAGCAGATCCTGGACCAGCGCGTCAACTCACGAACGTTGTTGCTGCCAAACACATGTTGCAAGGTGCGGAACAGGCATGGGTATTTCCAGGGCAGGCGGTGGAAAGACGCCCCCACCTTAGTCTTCTTCACATTACATGTTTTGATGAGGCAAGAAGACCCCATTGCAACAATTATATTAAAGCAACACACAGTAATTACAACCACTCCACAGAGCAATGGCTGTCAGGATTACTGGTTGAAAAACAACACACTTTTCCCGCACTTCGTAAGCACTTCAATCACGTAAATGATAAATATGTGGTACAAGGTCACGTTAGGGCGGCAGGGGCGACTTTCACTGCCACACTAAAGTTTGCGCTGAACACGAATCAGCAGGGATACCTAGGACAGCAGACCACTACAACAGCTAGAATAAAACGTTACTACAGCTAGAAGAGTAAGCCATCATAGCTAGGATAACTGTCACCACAACTAGAATAGCAGGCCACCAGCACCACCTCGAACGCTGAGTGGCCACGCAAGACTGCCGGGCCGGGGGCATGATAGGGACGGCCACGGTCGTCTGGCTAGCCAACGCCGACCCCACGCACCCTTCAGGATCACCCGCGGGAGGTCATGACCCACGCTGACCCACGCCAACGCCCCGTGTGCTCATTGGCAGTCACGCGGAAAACAGGGCTCGGATTGGCGGAGAAAGTGAGCCACAAGCAGGGTGCGATAGCCATGTAGACGCCACCACAAGCCAACCAGACGGGACAACTGGTCTAACCTCTCCCCACACCCGGCACCATCTGGTTGAGGTATACACTTCGTCTGAGGAAACTGTCTCCTGACGTGGGTGGCAGTAATGACCTGCTCAGTGCTTAAACAACAGCTGGCGTACCAGTACTGGGAATCCTGCAACCCATCTTCTAAACTGTAATTCATGCCACTCATTCTAAGGATCCAGAAGCAGATATTCGTCAATAACAAATACCCGCACATAGGAAAAAGAAAGTTATAACGACATTTCGGTGTGACCTGAACCATTAATTAGTCACACAAGTGTTAGTCACATGATGACCCTCTCCGTCACATGATGACCCTCTCCGTCAAATAATGACCTGCCAAGCTGGCGTACCAGTGCTGGGATTTTTTTTTATTATCCGGGGGAGTGGGGGGGAAGAGAGCCAAACCCATACGGGGGTCATAAACCACTTGGGGAATGGAAGGCATTCAAGTTTGATCCAGGGAAGGGAAGAATAAATTCAGTTCCTTGGATCAAGAGCCCCTCATCGGCATCACGACATCTCCCTGGAAGGGTACCTACCACTACTGGGAATCCTCACGCACCTGTTAACCACATACAATACAACGCACCTGTTAACCACATACAATACAACGCACCTGTTAACGACATACATTACAACGCACCTGTTAACGACATACATTACAACGCACCTGTTAACCACATACAATACAACGCACCTGTTAACCGCATACAATACAACGCACCTGTTAACCACATACAATACAACGCACCTGTTAACCACATACAATACAAGCACCTGTTAACCACATTACATACAACGACCTGTTAACCACATACATTACAACGCACCTGTTAACCACATACATTACAACGCACCTGTTAACCACACACATTACAACGCACCTGTTAACCACATTACAACACACCTGTTAACCACATACAATACAACGCACCTGTTAACCACACACATTACAACGCACCTGTTAACCACATACATTACAACGCACCTGTTAACCACATACAATACAACGCACCTGTTAACCACACATTACAACGCACCTGTTAACCACATACATTACAACGCACCTGTTAACCACACACATTACAACGCACCTGTTAACGGCATACAGTACAACGCACCTGTTAACCACATACAATACAACGCACCTGTTAACCACACATTACAACGCACCTGTTAACCACATACATTACAACGCACCTGTTAACCACACACATTACAACGCACCTGTTAACGACATACATTACAACGCACCTGTTAACCACATACAATACAACGCACCTGTTAACCACACACATTACAACGCACCTGTTAACCACACACATTACAACGCACCTGTTAACGACATACAGTACAACGCACCTGTTAACCACATACAACGCACCTGTTAACCACACATTACAACGCACCTGTTAACCACATACATTACAACGCACCTGTTAACCACACACATTACAACGCACCTGTTAACGACATACATTACAACGCACCTGTTAACCACATACAATACAACGCACCTGTTAACCACACACATACAACGCACCTGTTAACCACACACATTACAAACGCAACCTGTTAACGACATACAGTACAACGCACCTGTTAACCACATACAATACAACGCACCTGTTAACCACACACATTACAACGCACCTGTTAACCACATACAATACAACGCACCTGTTAACCACACACATTACAACGCACTTGTTAACCACACACATTACAACGCACCTGTTAACCACACACATTACAACGCACCTGTTAACGACATACAGTACAACGCACCTGTTAACCACATACAATACAACGCACCTGTTAACCACACACATTACAACGCACCTGTTAACCACATACATTACAACGCACCTGTTAACCACATACAATACAACGCACCTGTTAACCACGTACAGTACATGCCTTCTTGTACGCCCAGTGAGGCCCCAGCCAAATAAAGAAATACAATTTTAATATTGTATTAACTGGTCAAAGTTTTCCTTGCCTACTGAGCTAAGGTACTGGTAATGTGTGTAAAGTTATGCTTGGTGCAGTGTGACAGTTGATGTTGACCAGCACACACTTGCTGCAACACGTTCAAGCCGCTATAACCTGAAGCCACAGCAATAAGTAATACACTTGTGATATTTGGAAAAAATATCTGAGAATTCAAAAGAGTAAGCAATTCTTGAAGCAAATCCTTCAGTTTGATTTCTAGTTCAAAGTTTGTAGAATATAATAACCTGGAGATAATAATAATAATAATAATAATAATAATAATAATAATAATAATCTTTATTTTTACAAGTACATGATACAACTTATACAGACCTAGCTGACATCAGTGACATACTATATAGAAAGCCCCTGGTTATGCAAAGTATTTCGGGCAACTTAAGTTAATTTTGTCCCCCAGGATGTGACCTACACCAGTCGGCTAACACCCAGGTACCTACTAACTGCTAGGTGAACTGGGACAGCAGGTGTCTTAAGGAAACACGCCCAATATTTCCACCCGTACCGAGGTTCAAACCACGGATTTGAATGTGTAAGCTGAGTGCGCTACCAACCGATTTACGGGACACCTCTTCAGTCCAATTATATATATATTATTTCAAGTTGCATTACTGTACTCTCACTGAAATTGTTCAGTCTGTTGAAATGCCAAAAAAAAGGGACAAATTAGTACCAGTGAGTTAAGGGGCCTGAATATATTCAATTTTTTTTTTTTTTGGTTCAACTTCCACGAAATTTTATACTGTGATTAAACCAGCAATTTGCGACCCACACACTGTGTTTGTATTGACTCGTGTTGCAAAACTGCGAGATATTGCAAAATTGTATATGGCATAAAAACCCTCCCTGGCCTACAAAATTGTATTTATAAAACCCTCCCTGGCCTACAAAATTGTATTTATAAAACCCTCCCTGGCCTACAAAATTGTATTTATAAAACCCTCCCTGGCCTACAAAATTGTATTTATAAAACCCTCCCTGGCCTACAAAATTGTATTTATAAAACCCTCCCTGGCCTACAAAATTGTATTTATAAAACCCTCCCTGGCCTACAAAATTGTATTTAAAAAAACCCTCCCTGGGCCCACAAAATTGTATTTTATAAAACCCTCCCTGGCCTACAAAATTGTATTTATAAAACCCTCCCTGGCCTACAAAATTGTATTTATAAAACCCTCCCTGGCCTACAAAATTGTATTTATAAAACCCTCCCTGGCCTACAAAATTGTATTTATAAAACCCTCCCTGGCCTACAAAATTGTATTTATAAAACCCTCCCTGGCCTACAAAATTGTATTTATAAAACCCTCCCTGGCCTACAAAATTGTATTTATAAAACCCTCCCTGGCCTACAAAATTGTATTTATAAAACCCTCCCTGGCCTACAAAATTGTATTTATAAAACCCTCCCTGGCCTACAAAATTGTATTTATAAAACCCTCCCTGGCCTACAAAATTGTATTTATAAAACCCTCCCTGGCCTACAAAATTGTATTTATAAAACCCTCCCTGGCCTACAAAATTGTATTTATAAAACCCTCCCTGGCCTACAAAATTGTATTTATAAAACCCTCCCTGGCCTACAAAATTGTATTTATAAAACCCTCCCTGGCCTACAAAATTGTTAAGACGTACAATGTTCTAATTAACATCAGATGAAAGACAAAGAGGAAGATAAACTTAATTTTCAAGTCTTATACCTCCATATAAGACTTAAAATAATAGTCACTGACACCAGTGGTACACTAGGAGAAAACACAATAAATGTCAGGGTTCCAAGACTGTTCAACAGCCTCCTACCAGGCATAAGGGGAATTATCAATAGACCCCTGGTTGTCTTAAAGAGGAAGATGGACAGATACTTAAAGTCGGTGCCGGATCAGCCGCGCTGTGGTTCCTATGTCGGACTACGTGTGGCCAGCAGTAACAGCCTGGTTGATCAGGCCCTGATCCACCGGGAGACTTGGTCGTGGTCCGGGCCGCGGGGGCGTTGATCCCCGGAATACCCACCAGGTAGGCTGACACTCAACATGGGATACAGCAGGTAATACACAACCTTCACACAGCAGAAACAAACTTATCACAATGTTTCGATCCAACTTAGATTGTGTGACTAGTTAATGGTCCAAGTCGTACCGAAACGTCGTAATAAGTTTCTTTCTCCTATGTGCGGGTTATCTGTGTACTGTTAAAGTCACGCTATTGTGCCTTTTGTTATTTATGTAGCAAGTAAGTTGCAATTTGTTGAAGACTCACTGAGCTAACAATTTGAAGTCAGTCAGGATTGCATCTCGCTCTTCTTAGGTAAGTTCGCAAATTTTTCTACTCTTAGAGTCCGGCCTTGGGCCAGGCTCTTCTAGTGCTTGTCTGGTCAGCCTGGCTGTTACTGCTGGTGACCCGATGACCCACATATCCATCACAGCCTGGTGGATCTAGCACCTAGTGAAGATACTTGTCCAGTTTCCTCTTCAAGATGTCTACACTTGTGCCAGCAGTGTTTCTGATATTTTCTGGTAAGATGTTGAATAATCTGGGCCCAAGACATTGATATAGTTTTCCTTTATTGTGCCCACTGCAACTCTGCTTTTTAACATCAAAATGGTATACAATACCGACAGGTTGTTAGGTAAGACACATATGCAACAGTTAGACAACTTTATTCCGAAACGTTTCGCCTACACAGTAGGCTTCTTCAGTCGAATACAGAAAATAGGCAGGAACAG